AAAAAAAAAAAAAAAAAAAAAAAAACAAAAAAAAAAAAAAAAAAAAAAAAAAAAAAAAAAAAAAAAAAAAAAAAAAAGATATAGATTCTAATTAGCTAGAAGCTTACTATAACCTTATAGTAGAATAAATAATTTCTTACTAGTAAAGGTTTTATATAAGCCAAATATATAGATATAAAGATCTAATATAATTTTAAAAATAAAAAATACAAATTAATTTTTTTTTTTTTAAACTTAGATGATCTTGTCTATTATTTATTAAAGAAAAGCTTAAATAAGTTACAAAGTAAAAAACTATATATTCTATACTAAATTACCTTTTTTTATACTAATTTTATACTCACTTGGCTACTTTCAGATATCTAAATATGATTTGCTACAATAGCAATTTCTCTTATAAAAGTAATAAGTTACATTCATAATCTACTTACTTCTAATTTCCAGAAGGCTACTACTAGTCTTTAAAAAATACAAATTAATATTTTTGATATTTAGAATATTTTATAATATCTACAATATATTTTTTGTATCTTTAAAAATTTTGATCTTTCTATTATAATCTCTTTAAAAATAATATTTTTCTTTTTTTTTTTTATACTCTTAAATTAAATGATAAAAATATTTTTGCTTAAAATATTTACTTTCTCTTTAATAATATTACTCTCTTCTTATCTTCTTTTATTTCTTTTATTCAAAATTCTTTTTATCATTAATTTTTATCAAACCTTATTTTTATTTTATTTTATTTTATTTTATTATCTCTTTTAATTATTTTAATATTAGTTTTACTTTTTCTTTTTCTTGATTAACAAAATATATAATAACTATAACTATGAATAATAAGTATTGTGACTTGTTAACATATTTGTTAATTTGAATTTTGAAACCTATATGTAATTATTAATAGTGTAAAATTATAAGTAGTGAAAGCCTCTTGCAAGCTTTAACCTATTTGAATGTATAGATATAATATAAGTTAGATCTAAGAGAAAACATGTATTTAAAAAGATTTTTCATAAGCATGTACTTAAGAAAATAGCATTTAGAAGGTCTAACTATAGTAATTATCTATTTATAAAACCAATAAACTTAATAAAATTCTACTAGCAATATAAGCTACCTTAACACAAAATTAAAAATAAAATATTATACTGTAGTTTATTATATAACATAATTTTAATTACTTAGCTAATTTATGTAGTATTATCTGATATCTAATTTAGGCCATTATCAAACATCTCCCTCGTGTTTACTGAATTATCTAATTGGTTGAAAAAATTAACCGTACTTGTTATTTAAAACTGGAGCTGTGACTACCAATTTTTTTTTTATAAAGCTGTTTTGATTGGCTAAAATTTAAAATCCGCATTTCGTGCAGCAATATCGTTACAAGAAACACTTCTTAATGATTGAGCAACATCTCAATTTACATTGAGGGTGTTGCTTGAGAACGCTTTTAGTTAACAATTTGATATAGTTTTTATGCAGATTTAAGTAATCATTTAAACTTGTTTCTTGAGATATGCTAATTTAACCATTACATTATATAGTAATTAGCATATCTTTAAAATTAATTTTTATTATAATTAGGTACATTTTTGTTTATTGTAAACGTAGGTTAAAAAAAAATAAAATAAAAACATTACGTTTTTTGTATAAAATTAAATATAATACTAGAATATTTATATTATAATATTAGACGTGATAGACTGCTAATTACGTAATAAACGGCACTTCCTTAAATTATATAATACGTTGCTAAGTAATACTTTAAAAAATTAAAAAAAAAAAAGGTTTAGAGGCTAAGATATAGACAATTAGATTTAGAAATTAGAACGAGGTGGTTAAGCTATACGGATAAGATTTAAATGTTAAATTAATTAACAGTTAAAGATTAAAAATAATTTAGAAATTTAGAAATAAATATGAATAAACATAAGAATTGCGGTGAAGTTAATCAATTAAACAGATAGGAAAAATTTATCAATTCAATTTATCTTGGTGAGATGAGTCAACGAGATTCTAATATGGGGTGTGATCTATTAAAACAGCCCACTTTTACTTGATTTTTGAATAGATATATATTCAATAAAAAAGTTTGTTTTAAGTTACCAAAGCTAATTATATAATAAAAAGAAACTAAGTTAAAAATTTTATATGTATTACTATTTGTAGAACATTATTTAAAATCAAAATTGGTAATAAATGGAATGATTTTTATAATATTCGATTCTGGAGAATACAAATTACATAAATGGTGTCAAAATACAATATATCAAGGCCTGAATGTATTATATATCAAATTATTTTTAAGAAAAAATAGAAGTGACACTATTCGTCTCACAAAAAGTGAATCGAATGATATAAAATCGGTCGATTTTGATTGATGGATCACCACAATACCTTATGATATATATGGTATTGTTATATTATCATATGTCACAGTATTAAGGTTTGAAAAACACCGATTATTTAAATTAGCATATATACTAAACAAATAAAATAACGATAAATCTATTTTTGAAATTTCTATAGTGATAATGTAATTATAGTTAAATTTGACTTTCAAATATAGACTTTAGGTGACAATTTTAGTAAGGCATTTTATGTTCATAGCACTTTCGACATTCGGACATTTCGGTAAATCCGAAAAATGCATTCTAGTAATAAATCCGAAAGTGTTTACTTCCGGAGCCAACAATAATCTTGAATTCGTTATAAGTGAGGGTCAATTATATTTTGAATGGTATCATACTGCATAAAACAGAATTTAAAGTTTAAATGAATTGAACTTTAGACATATGAATGTAAGTTTATTTGGACCACAGAAGATGAAAAAAAAGCATAACGATAATAATGATAATCATCGGTAAAATGAATTACCGATAAGTAGTGTTACCATCGTTTTTTTTTTTCAATGTATTTAATTCATATATGTACAATATCGATCGATAAATACTTATAAGTACATATCTAAAACTTTAGATCATATAATGAATGATTCATACCAAATTTAAAATGATTACGTCGGCGTCTGTCCAAAAGTTTTACCGATAGATTTCGGACACAAGATCTTCTAATTGATTATGATCTAGATCACCTCATTAGTAAGTAAAAAAAAATACATCAAATGCTAAAAATGGGGCTAATTTGAATTTATAATTTACGCCGTATAAACATGACGCCATAAAGAACACGTTTGATCACGGCGTTATTAGATTATTTTATCGTTTTAGGTATAAATTGAAAAATTGAGCTTTTTGGTGATCTGATGTATTATATATAGCAATTGATCATAATTAATATAATTAATATAATTAACAGTAATAAGTTTATTAATTAATTATATGCGATTTATAAATATATCTTATAACGATGTCATAATTTGTATTTATTAATAAATAAAAAACAAAAAAAATACAAATATTACATGCGTTGTTAACAATTCTAACAAAAATTTTTTCGCAAATTACATATCGATATTTATCTTAAAAACGCGAATATGCATGTATGATGATTAAACTAGCTGGTACAAAAGTAAAAATTAAGAAATAAAATTGTATGCTATGTACAATTTGATTAGTAGAAATTTCCGTATCAGTACATGCATTGAAAGGATACATATAAAGATAATAAATATATATACAGTATGGTAACCTGCATTGGTTTTAGACTTTAATAGAATTTGTCAGCATTAAATATTTTTTAGTACGTATACGTATACGTATAACATATTTTGTTAAAATTTATGCTAGTGGAATTTATTACGTAGTAGAAAATTATATGGTACGAGTTATATATTTTTTACCATTACTTGTACCAAAAAATAGATTTATTAAAATACTATATACGTAGAACATATATAACAATTTGTGCTAACTGTACTACGTACTAGTAATCCAAAACTGAAATCCAAAACTATTAATTATATTATTTTAGATAATAAAATAAAAGAAATTAATGAAACAAAATAACTGGTATATATAACTATAAATAAGCAAACTAATACATTTTACTACGTATCTAAGCCGATCAAATAGAATTCAGGCTTAATACATGTTTTTTTCTTTTCATTGTCTTAACAATGAAACCTCAAAACTATAGAAGTTTCGATCAATTTAACTATGCATTCTTATGCTGAGTGAACAATCATTAATTTGTACGTGTTATTATTATACGTATCATAATTATTATCATATTTATTTTATTCATTTATTAGGAATTAGTGTAGATTATTCGTTATTAAATTAAAATGTAAAATATGTTAAAAAAAGATTTAATAATTTTTTGCTTGAAAAATAAAACTCTTTATATTAAAATAAATCCTAAAATCTTTCCCGCTTTAGGTTATTTCCACTACACTTTGTCAACTTTGTCTTCTTAAACGTTAAATAATGCTACCCTATTCCAGCTAGTACCATGTATCACAATATTAATTTAAGCTGGAGGCGTTCATGCTCTGTACGTGTAAATTATAAGTTCAAATTAATACGTGATATAAATATTAGAATATCATAAGTGATACAATTTTCCTAATTATAGATTGTTTTCTATAAATTTGCTGCTTCGTTCCGCATAAAAAAAATTTGGTACTTTGTATTTTAATTTTCTACAAATTATTTTTGCGTTTTAAATCTTTTCTTTTTTTCTTGGTTTTTGTGAATTTCTTTGTACTATTTCTATCTTTTTTTGTATATTTGTATTTGGTATTTTCTAAACCAAATTATTTTGTACATTGAAATATCTTTTTTGCATTTTAAAAAAATTTTTTATCAAGTCAATTTATATATATATATATTAAAAAAAAAAAATACGTGAGTATATGCCAGTTTTTATTATATTAATAAACTTGTTCTATCATCATTGTTAACGTAAACTAAAAGTTTTCATTTCTCGCTCACACAGGAAAAAACCGGTTTAAAAAAATCTTTGATCCTGACTAAAAAAAAAAAATATATATTTCCCAAAAATGGACAACGAAAAATTTTTTCGATTTGTTCAACATTATCAAGAACAAATTCCTTCAGATGTTCATGAATATATCATGCAAACATATACTTATGGTCAAGAAAGCCTTAGGCGTCATCATGTATCTGTCTGGGAATCTTCTACAAGGGTCGAATTGATTCTAATGATTATAGCTATTACATTATGGTTTCTTGTAATATCAGTATCTGCACTGGGTTATTTCGTGGCGTAAGTATGTTTAACTATGTTAAATTCTCCGTAATTATCGTTATCTTTATTTTATTTTTTTTTTAAATTCCATTTTAATTTTATAGCCGTACAAGATTTAGATCCTCTAAAAAATCTCTTTCTTCACAATTACCTGTTAATAAAGCTTTAGGTGTATCAATAATAAGACCTCTTAAAGGTGTAGACTGTAATTTATTTGAAAACCTTTCTTCTTCATTCCGACAAGATTACCCAAAGTTTGAGATAATTTTTTCCGTGGCAAATGATACTGATCCTGCCATAGCGACCGTACAAAAATTGATGAAAGCATTTCCAAATGTAGATGCAAAATTAATTATAGGTTTGTATGTTATAAATTATTTATTACTGTATTATTTTTATTATTAGATTACTTACATTTTATTTTATTTTATTTTATTTTTTATTTATTTTTATAATAGGCGATCGAGATGTTGGAGTTAACCCAAAAATAAATAATATGATTCGTGCGTACGAATCCGTTAAATATGATATAATTTGGATTTTGGATTCTAATGTTTATGTTGACCCTGGATGTCTTGGAAGGTCCGTGGACAAACTATCTCAACCTGGTGTTGGTTTAGTCCATCATCTTCCTTTTGCCGTTCGTCCTGATTCTTTTGGTTCAGAATTAGAAATGTTATTTATAGACACTATTCATGCAAAAATGTATTTAGCTATTAATGCTTTGGGTCCTGATAGTTGTGTAGTAGGTAAATCAAATTTATATCGAAAAAGTAGTGTTGAAGAAGTTGGTGGTTTAGCTCAATTTGGAAAATTTATGGCTGAAGATAATTTAATAGCTAGAGCCATCTGGAAAAAAGGTTATAAACATGAAATGACAAGTGATTTAGCTTACCAACCACTTGGTTCAATGACTACTACTGAATATTTCTTACGTCGATCACGGTGGACACGCATTAGAAAGTACACTGTCACAGCTGCTACTGTAATTGAACCTTTTATTGAATCAATAGTTTGTGGTCTTTGTGCGTCTTATGGTTTTAATCTTTTATGGCATATTCATCCGTTAAATTTCCTTGCTTTTCACCTTTCTTTGTGGTTTTGGATCGATCTTAAATTATTTCAAACTTTAAGTCAAAAGAAAGTTGATGTGGAAACTTTACGAGGTTTCATTATGGCTTGGGCTATACGTGAAATTACCGCTTTACCACTTTATATTTATTCAATCCTTGGAACCACTGTGGATTGGAGGGATGGTACATTTAGATTGAAAAGAGATTCAACTGTGATAAAAATCTCCCCTTTACATAAACAACATAGAGCCACTGGAAGCATCTCATCACCTCCTTCATCCTCAAATAATCCAAAAACTGCCTTCTTTCAACAACAATTTATAGTATCTATCCTTACATCAGTAATTTTAGTTATTAATTTCTTTATAGATATATTATTCTCTAGTCAACGTAATGGTAATCCTGTGGAGAACACAGAAGTAGAAGATTTAAAAGATTCCGAAAAAGAAAAAACACATATAAGTAATATGACAAGGCTTCGTTCTATGAGAAGATATAAAAATGAAACAGATAATGTATCAGAGTCATTTCCGATCTCATGATGATTACCTGTAATTAAATCTGTAATATTTATGATATAGGTGCATATCAGATATGCACAGTAATAATGATACATAAATGTAGTAAATGTAGTAATGTAGTTAGTAAAAATGCTGATACCCTTTTTTTTTTTTTTTTTTTAAAAAAAAAAAAAAAAATTTCACACGAAAGTATGTGTCATGTGTCATCGAATAGAAAAAAATTGCATTTTCATTTTGGTGGTTTATCGTATTACATATTCATACATGTATATATATGTTATATACATATTCATATTATTATAGTCATAATACATGTTTTTTTTTTTTTTTTTTGGATTACGTATGATGTAAATATTGTAATTTACAAATATTATGAAAATGCAATAACAGATAACGATATTGCTTATTCGAATATAGTCATCACATATCTGATATGATTACGTATCACATATATGTACGGCTTATCAAGGGATGTCACGTACCAGGAATGGAGTATGGCCTATCCGTGGGTGAAATGGTGTACAGGTGTAAAATTCTTATATCTTATTGGTCGGCGTGATCATAGCCGTCACATTGCTGCATTCACATGTAATCCATCACAGTAGACCAGGAACGAAATCATTGGACAACGTGATCTTGTCATGAAAATTTATTTTATAATGATTTTCACGATTTAGGTCGATTTCGAGATCATTCTCGAATTTTGGGTTATTTCTCAATCGGTAAAATTTTTAAAAATTTAAAATTAACTACCCCAACAACACCACCAAAAATTTTCGGTTACACAACATTTGTATTATAGGCCGTATCATCACTTCTGATACATCACATTTTTTAAAATAAATTAAAAAGTTTATTAATAATATTAAATCTA